TAAATACGATATTTGGCTTCTTGTCATAAGGGACATAACAAGTTACACTATACTACATAAAATATATGCTAAGTTATTTTAATAATGTATATCTAGTCTTACGAGTAAAATGATTGTACTAGAATTTGCATCTAGAAGTAGTACAATACCTACGCATACAATTTTTTCTTTGGTGTCACTGATAGTTGACAATCTTCTAAATAAAATGAGATAAAATTCTAAATCTCAAATCAGTAGAATAAACCATGTAAAATAACAGAACCCAAAAATCTCTCCTGAAATACTATCAAAAAGCTCAAGATTAATTTCTATTGTAAAGTTCTCTATTTAAAATATGCAAATTAGAAAAAATAGAAACGCATGATTTTAGTTATTATAATATTATTCTTCGGAAATTATATAATAACTACAATAAATAATTATTATATAATAATTTATAATTTTTAAATTCCCTCAAACTACAAGTTTTATGACAATTTAATTATTTTAAAACTATATAAATAATAAAATATATATTTTTTGGAAATAGTACTAATTATTTTTGGATAATTTTGCTTAGAAAAATATTCTGAATTAACGTTTCAAAATTTACTTTTCATATTTTTTTACAAAAATTAATGAACTGATTATCAAAAACCATACGACAGACGCGAATTGAAAATTGCGTTGATTAGTCAAAAATATTAATTGTTTTCAACAGTTTTTTTTAAATTTTATTAATCTTATTTTAAAAATGCAATATTTAAAATCTAATTTTCATTTATCATTAAGAAATATAAGTAATTCTATTCAAAGCTATTCATTGTACACTTCTATACATCTTATAAAAATTTCTGGACAAATTAAATCTGGATTAAATTCAATATATCTGGACATTGTAAACAAGATTCAAATTATAAATTTTAATTATGTTTTTTTCCGTGAAAGGTTATTTTTATACGAGAATAATTATATATTAATCACCATGTCATAAGATAAAATGTCAAACATATCTATTTTTAATAAGGTTTGGAACAAACCTTATACATACACTATATGAAAGCAGACATTATATGAAAATTCTAAGGACATTTATAGAATTTGCTACATTTTCATTCCGGCCTCGTGACTTTTGCTTTTGTCTCGAGATCTAGAAAAAGCTTTGTACGTGTTTTGGTGTCACGATCGCCTTTGTGACTTCCTTTGTAATTACATGAGTAAACTGTTTACATCTAAAAATCGTGCCCGGATCTCGAAAGTTATACCATTAAACGCAAATGTGGCATAGAATATAAAACGATAATTTATTTATATATTTTTATACATTTATTTCTTTTATGTGAATTATTATAAGTAATCACTTGGATTACTTCTAGTACCAAATATAGATGTATAAGACTAGATATGATTGTGCCTGTTAACTAAAAAAAAAAGAATCAAATAATCAATCGAACAAAACAAAATTTTTCGTAAAAGGTTAACAAGAAATCTTCATATTTTCTTTTCTTGTATTGAATTTTTCTTTTCCTTTTTCTTACGTATTTTGTCTTAGTTAAGTTAGCTTTTTTATCCGTTTAATCTTCGCCCGAAAAGGACAAGACTCACAATCACATGTCACAACCGTACCCAACAAACACTTTTGAAAATAAATGATCGTTATGGCTGACCTAAATTATCTATGCAAAACCTCATTGCTGGTATTTAACTATTAATGTTCAACTTACAACAAAATAATAAACAAAGTGATTTTTCGTATACAATTAACAGTTTTTATTAGAAGAAATCGATCAACAGTCCAGTCGTTTAAGCTTAAATTAGGTAAGAATCTCAGAATTTGAGATACCCAGCTCTAAGTCTGTAAATACTCTATAAAAACACCCTAAAAGTAGTCTCAAAACCTACTTATGGTACGTACACCTTACCATATGCAGGTTTTGAGACCACTTTTAGGGTGTATTTACAGAGTATTTACAAACTTACAGTTGGGTTTCTTGAATTCCGAGGTGAACTTACTATAATGACTAGACTACAAAGAATTTTTTTTAACTCTTTAATAGCAATGTAGTCTACAGATTAAGGAAGGATGCTGACTCAATGCAATAATGGAAACTTGTTTACATAAACATACTTCATCTTTCCTTTAAACCTAATCTCAGAATCAGTATAGTTTAGCTGTTATGGGTACTATCACCTTATGTTGGCACAACCGTACCCAGTCATATATATATATAAATGTAAATATGGCTATATCAAGCATTTTTTTATAGGTAATTGTTAAAGTCAGAAAATGTTTTCAATTATCAGCTCATATTAACAACTTTTTTGAAGAAATTGTGACTATGAGAGAAAAAAGTTACCAAGAAGTATTTTTTTATTGGCTTCATGCTAATTAATTTTAAAGCGATAAATATAACGATCAAAGTGGAGTGGACTTTGACCCACTTTCAAAGTTCATCATATTCATTAAAAAAGTACATAACGTTTAACAAGGTGCTTGATTTATGTATATATGTATATATATATATATATATATATATATATATATATATATATTGTAGAGTTTCGAACAAGAATCCAAAAAGTAATGAATAATAAAAAAAGTTTTTTAATAAACTATTTCTTTATTTATTTATTTACTAGGTTGTTGTTAAGTATTTCGAAACTAAGTACGTTCCATCTTCAGGAGATCTGATAAGAAACATGATCTGGATAAGATTTAAGCAAACAATATGTTTAAGGAAAGAAGATGAAATTTTTTAATTAATAAAATAGTTGAAAAAATAATGTACAGAAATATGATAATATGATCAAAATAAAAATGATAAGAATAAATGAGTGGATTATATAGCAGGATATTAAAAATGATAAAAAATTTGAAAGTTTTGGAAAGTTTTAAGAAAAAGTTAATGAAAAAATTTGAGTTAATTACCTATATGATTGAATATACGTTAGCAATTTGTCACTAAAAAAGATTTTATCAAAAAATGAAATTATGAGGTAATTTTTAGCCAAATAGGTAAATTTTGTAAATTAAAATTTCTATAAGTTATGTCTTTTTTAAGTTTGTTATTTGAAACAAACAATATTATTCTCTCGATGTTATGAGATCGGCTGTTTGTAATGAACTGAATCTAAGTCACACGTGCGCTACTTGAAAACTGTAACGATGTGTGTGTGTGTTGTTATATGCGAGGATGTAAATACTTAAATTATTGATCTTAAATGGCAGTCGATATTAATTGTTTGTCAAAAAGTGTAAAAAATTTAAATAAGAATCATGTAACATGTTGTGATCTGATCTAATGTTAAACACTATTAGAAACGTTTATAAGAATAAGACAACTTTCCGCAAATAATCTCCTAAAGATGCAGTTTTCATGAAATAAAATCTTTCGAGTGAAGTTAAAAGATATATATATATATATATATATATATTAGTGATGTGCCGACTCGAAAAATTCCCGATTCGAATGATTCGAATCAGAAAAAAACCTGATTCGAATCATGATTCGAATCAACTCGAATCAAGTATATATATGGACAAAAAAAAATCATGAATGTATTAATTTAGTAAAAGTGATCCAAATTTATAATCAAAATTGTCAGTTTAACCAATATAACTGACAAAGTAGAAATTGTAAACATAAATCACTATCAAAAAGTATATTCTGAAAATTATTAAAAATGATGTAATTTTGAGGACGGCTAAAACATATCTTCAAATTAATTTAGAATAATAGATTACCAAACAATTGTGCATCACTAAAGCATATAAAATAATATTTGGAATCATGGGTCGATTGTTTATTTTACTATGTAATCAGTAAAGGATCGCATCTAAACTGAGAGCTGAAAGTTAATTTCATTAATGCCATTACTTACATAATCAGAAGTTAACATATTATTTACTGACTTTCTGGTGTTTAGTAATTGTTTCAAAAGAGAATTATATTGAAAGATTCCCGAAACTCGTTTCATAATTCCGAGTGGTTTATTCTGATAACATTTAAAATCTAAAACACTTAATTATTATCAAAATTGGGTATTGATATTTCACGAATAAAATCGCTCTCAGCGCTCCGTAAAATAAATAAACACGCAAGAACGACGACGCATTGTATCGCCCATACGGTTAACTAACTCATATCGCTTGAACTCATATCGCTCGAACGGCTTGAAGTCGGGATGATTCGAATCAGAATTGAAGTCGGAATAACTCGTAACGCCGCTTGATTCGGTTTGGCTCATATGAAGTCGGAACAACTCATATCGCCGCTTGATTCGGTTTGAGTCATGAAGTCGGAACAACTCATAACGCCGCTTGATTCGAGTTGGCTCATATGAAGTCGGAACAACTCATATCGCCGCTTGATTCGGTTTGAGTCATGAAGTCGGAATAACTCATATCGCCGCTTGATTCGGTTTGAGTCATATGAAGTCGGATGATATAGTTAGTCGATGAATGCGGTTAAAGTCACACAAAGACGATTGGAGTTGGCTGATACATTTAAGCATATTAAAGTCGGGTGGCTCGCATGATTTAATTCATTATTTATTTTTTATATTTATGATATTTATTTTTTATATTATTATAATATTGAATTAAATTAAAACATTTTTTTATATTTATATTTATGAAAAATTTTATATTTATGAAAAATTTGTGTTAATACATATTTTATCACAGTAAATATTTCGCGGCTTGATGCGAGTTGATTCGAATCAAGTAAAATCTGATTCGAATCAAGTCGTTAAAGGCTTGATTCGAATGATTCGAATCACTTGATTCGACTTGGCACATCACTAATATATATATATGCGTGGACGTACATGCATCTGACTCCATAAAACCCGACCTCAATTTACTGCTGAGACTAAAGATCGCCTTTTTTAGATTGAAAAAAATGCGGAGACTCACAATCAGCGCTCAGTTCGCACGTAAAGAAATGAATTCACATTAATAATGAAGCGCGTAGTGCACGTGTACTTTCCTTAATTTTTCATTTATTTCTATACAGTACCTGAGAGGATCCTTGATATGTATGTATCGATCGAGTGATATTGCGCACAGGTTAAGAATGCTTGCAGTGGAACACATTACGTCGAAAGCGACCCAAGTGTCGCAGAATTGAGCTCCGAATACCCAATAGCCGAGCAAATCATTTACTCCGGCAAATGTCATCACTAAGGAAGCCACAAAGAGATCAGCGATCGCCAGCGACGCCAGGAACAGGTTGCCGATCCGCCTCAGGCCTCGGTCGCTGTAGATCGCTATGCATACCAGGATGTTGCCCGCCACTGACAGGAAGATTATCAATACCAGAAACGACCCTGAGAAAATAAACAGTTTATTTTTAGAACTTGTGTTATATGATATTAAATAATTAATCAAACACATGCTATCATATAACTTTCTGGAATTAAAGTTGTCTCATTTATTTGAAGGTGTACATCAAATAGATGCGAAGGATATTGTCAAATATTAGTACAATTATTAGGGATAGGATATTAGGGTAGAGCAGGACTTAAAGGTGCGCGGGTAAAAAGTAAAGTTATGAATTTTATTAACAACAATTTTTGAAAGAAGAAGTGAAAGGACGTATAACCTTGATTCTGACGAGGTCGCTATTGGAAGAAAAACGGCAGTATGTTTGAAAATTCATAAGGAAAGTTTTTTTTCGTTGCTAGTTTTTTTTGTTGTAAGCTATGTTGTTTACGAGAACTTAATATTATTTTTAAGTATACGTAGTTGATTTGTTTGATAAGATTGTTCATTAAGTATAGTATTGTTCATTTTAACTTGAATTCATTAGTTATTTTCATATAACCTCTATAAAAGCTTACTCCTAGGTGAGGTAAAAAAGACCAACTGAACCTTCACCCTGGCAAGGATGAAAAAAAAAATAGCAAAATAAGTTCAAAAAAGCTATTTTACGAAAGATAAATTAGATGAATGATTACTCCAACTCAGCTAATCAATATTTCTGATGTAATACCAGATCAATGCTATTTTCTCTGTTATCTTTGTAAAATTGCACCTATGAAATTTATGTTTTGCATTGGTTGAATAATGTAGCTAATATTTTGTAATATCCCTTTGAAATTAAAATAAGATAATGGACCTGTTTATCTCCTGGCCGTCCCAAGTTACTCCGCCCGTAGGGCATAGAGGACCAGGTTGCAAATTTTTGAAAAAGAGCAAAAAAACATATTTCTACAAGGACGAAGTAGCTAGAAGTTTCACTGAACATAGTCAGATTATTTTTTGTTTGATATGTGTTATTTTTCAATATAATTGGTTTGGTTTGCACCATAAATTTGCTCAAAGCCACAAATTGAGGCTATCTTACCATATTTGTGGTAGGATTGATTTAGATTAAGTTTTATTTAAATGATATTTTAGAATAGAAAAGTATTTAAAATAACAATGTATAAAATTTGAAATTAAATTTATAATATTTATTGTCCTCATTTTTTATGTGAGGTAGAGTTTGAGATCCGCGGGTAAAAAGATCCATCATCAATATCTTGAAAACAAAAGTAGAAATTTTTTAACAACTTTATTTGAAAGTAGAGGAAAAAAGATGTATAACCAGCCATCATCTTGATTCATGCGACGTTGCTATAGAGAGTTGAACGACAATGTTTGAAAATCCATATAAGTATTTTCTTTCGTTTTTAGTTTTATGGTTGTGAGCACTGTTGTTTAGTTTACGAGACCCTAATATAATTTTTATGTATACGTTATTTAATTGTTTTACAAGATGTATTGCTAGTTTTGAGTAAGATTTAACGGTCTTTTATAAAATCTCTATAAATCTTACACGTGTAAAAGAAATTTAACAAAAGAGTTTAAATTATTAGTTATTCCACTTCTGATGAATATTTCTGACAAAATACCAGATCAAGTTTATATACGGAAAACTTTTATTTCCCATTGTTTATATAATTCAGCTATTATTTTTTAAAAATACCTAAAAATTAAAAATAAGACATTGAACCTGTTTGCCTCCTGGCCGTCTCGTTTTACCCCACTTATGGGATAAAAACGACCAGATGACATATTTTTGAAAAACAGTAGAATAAACACATTTCTACAATGATGAATCACCTGTGTTTTTTCCTGAACATTTTGAGATAGTAGTTTGGTCGATATTTCTAATATTTTGTTATATAATCCACTTATTTACTTTTATTACTTTTAATTTGATTATATTTGCGTATTGTCATTTCATGTCTGTATTGTAATGTTTTTTTAAAAAAACTTTTTTGTTTTTTATTACATTTGGATTCTTTGTTTAAAGTATATATATATATATATATATATATATATATATATATATATATATATATATGATAAATAGCATAAAAACAAAAAACTTTTCAATATGCGTTTATTCTGATAATAAATCGAAAACTAAATTAGGTTTTTAAATTTTGGAGACTTATATATTTCATACGCATTGATAATAATAATTTCTGAATTGCAAATTTAATATGAAAATCAATATACAATCTGCTCAAAGCTTTGTGTCACCAAATATGCTTAAAAATATCGAAATAATTATATAATTAACTCTATATTGTCCCAATTTTAATGTTTACACTATAATTTAACTTTCATAATCAAATAATTAATTTGAATAATCAAAATACATTCAATTGAACTAATGTTATAAATTGTTATGATTATATTCATAATTAATTAACAATTGTCAGAGCTCAGCTATTCGATTGTTCTGTTATTTAATTATAGAAACACTAGCAAACTCTATTGACTTTAAAACTTTATGTTAAAACTAATGGAATATACAAGTGGGACTTCACCGGCTTTATAGTATTACGACTAATTATATAGTGCCATAGAAATATATGCCAATTAAATACTTTAATTTTACACTTTATTATCTTTACAAAATTTTGTTGGCAAATTATTATACCATAAATTATATATTATATGGCGGCGAATAAGAGTCCAATTTGACTTTCAGTAATTATAGTGTCTAAACTAAATAGATTACATAACAACAAATAACACTATAATTTCTAATTATAAAAATATATTGTTTAACTACTTTCCTAAAATTTCTTTACCTTTGGGAGAGGCTGGGTTAAAAGATAAATGAAACTATCGGAAAAACAGATACAATCAATTCGAATATTGAAGTAATTTCACTAAATAATAGCTAAATTATTTAGCTAATACAAAAAAAATTCATGAGGACATGTTTATTATTTATTACACCGTAAATTTTAGCACTTACTAAATACTAGCATTGACTATTGATATAAAAATGAAAACTTTTGAATAATAATTTACTTTAATAATTGATTTCAAAATATAAATAATAAACTGATTATATATGTTTTATGCAAATGTAATTGCATTCATTATGTTGACATCATTATTCTACAATAATAATCTTTGACAATTTTTCAGACACCCCACTTTATCACCTGCAGAATTAAAACTGTTTTATAGTTTGTTGCATTTTTAAAATAAAATAACTCTTAAAAAATGCATAGAACTAGTAATATATGGCATCGTGCTTTAAGACAAATTGCTAGTACTCCCCGTACCGTAAAGAAATGTTCGAAAATATTAAATGTTTTAAATAGATTATTATAAATACTGTAACATAGTCTAATATTTATAAGAATTATATAAACTTAATTACAAAGTTAAAATTATTTATTTAAAGTATATTAGTGAGCTTTAAAACTTCAGCCACAAACAAAAAAATCTGAATTATTGTCGATATACAAAAAAATTGAAATAGATTTTTTTTTTCTCCCAAAAGCAATTGTTTTGTCAAGTTTTTTAAATCGTTCAAATCGGATGCTTATTTCTCTCAAAAACTGACATGTTCTGTATATTTAGCTCTGTATCTTCGCCTTTGCTAAAAACGGATCACCAACTAGTTGATATTGGTATTTTGCCTTTAGGCAAGTTACATGAACTTCCCGATATGTGTAAATAATCGATTTAATCAACACAAAATAAATTAATTTATGAGTGATTAAGAGTATTTCGAGTGAATTCATTAAACATAATTGAGAACGAACGAGCACGTTAACTCGTTTTCTAGAAAAAATTTTAACAAATCAATAATTTTTATGTTTGAACCAGTTTACCTTGGGATTTCAATGGTTTAGTATGTTCATTAAGACCAAGTACTCTTTTGTTATACCAAGTAAATCGCCTAATTTTATTTTTACCTAACGTCAAAAAAACTACTCATTTTCTCAAACTTTGATGAATTTTTAAAATTAAACTACTTGTCGTAAGGCCGTAATACTTTAGTAAGTTCAATAAGACCATGATATATATATCGCTAAAATAAGTTCCATAAAAATCGGCTTAAATTTTTTTTCAACAGTTAATTGCAAGAAAACGGCTCGGTATATTTTCACCTAAAACTAATCAGTATCATTCCCAACTAACATCTTTCGATCAGTTTTTTATTTTTTAAAATCGATTTTTGAACAAACGTCGATGAAAGATCTAATTTTGACAAATGCCAAAAAACTATACTAATTTTTGCAAACTTTGACGAATTTTTAAAGCTAAACGAGTTGTCGTAGGGCCGTTATATTTTAATATGATCTAGAAGACTATGGTATCTACCGCCAAAGAAATAATAATAATAATCGTCGAAAAAAAAATTTTAACACTTTATTACAAGAAAACTACCAAAAACTAATCAGCACGATTCCGGAAGTTAAAAATAACTTCAACGGCATTTCAAAAATCATATAAATTTTATGTCAATACACTAAATTACCAACTTCATTGCATTAAAAGTATCGATAGATAAAAAAGTATAAGAATTAATGAATTAATGCCTACAAAAATGTTGCATTTAAAACAAAACTAATTCGGAAACTGCGATGCTTGTGAAATGTGCTATGCATAACATGTGCACATATAATCATCAAATAATAAATAGCAATATAAATATTTATTATACTCAGCTTTACCGTTCAGAATGTAAATGCATAAACTAACAAACATGTTTAATCCGCCAAACTTATTACCAAATGTTTTTCATTCATATTAAATGCATTGTTGAGATTCATTATACCGTCGTGCATGTAATGTAATCAACTATGTATTACAAATGCGAGTGCATAGTTGTAAGCCCGAAGCAGGTGTTGTATTAGTTTAACAATTTCATCTTGATACAAGGCGAATTTGCGCGCCCTGTTAAATGCGGAGCACGCGTGCTATGCACTTATGCAGCATGCACAATAGGCAAGGTACAACTGGTAATACTGATACATCCATCAGGCAATTTAGGCGAGAGAGAAATCAAATGCAAATCTTGAAT